TCTTGATAATGATTCATATTGATCATTCTCTTTACTTGATCTTATTAAAGTATGACAAATACTTTGGAGGGGTGATAACCTTTCATCTTTAAATTTCTCTTTTAGATGTCTATCATTTGCATGTTCTTTGTTGCCCATTAAAACCTTTCATGGAAAAACCCAATGGGATAAAAACCATGATAAAGAAAAAGAGTACAACCGCACACATCATCATATTTCTCCCCCTTGGAAGTATCTTCTTCAGGAGATGCATTCCAATCATATATACCATCTTTTGGCAATCATTATAAGTATAAGCTTAATGAATAAACTCATATGATTATCTTATAATCTCTTAGGTTATTGGACTTTTTGTCTATAACAACTTTTTCATATAAACAACTATTTCTTGATCTTTTTGAACTTCAAGTCCAAACTTCATTTTACTTACAGCATTCTAAACTTGTATGGAACATACTTATACATAAGATGTCATTCATGCTCTTCTTTAGTATTTTAGCTTTCTTTCTTGTTATACTAAATCACATCTTTCAATTATGAAATAGATCTATACATTGCTCAACTAGCAATTTAGGTATTGTACTTAGGATCAAAAATATTGTGAGCATTCTTTATGTCAAATCCTACAAGGATCATTTGAGATAGTATCTCTACCACTTAGATATCTCAATTTGGAACATTTAAAGACAATATCGTCTATTCCAAAGATTTTTCTTCCAAATTACAACTTGGGATAACTCTTCAAGAGATCTGATTATATTCAAATCTAGGATCCTCTTGATCCATAATATTTTGGTAAATACATATAGGTATATTGGTTAACCTTATAATATTCACTTATACCACATAAAATGTTATTGTCTTAATTCGATCAAATAATTAGAATCTTCAGGAATATGATTTTGACAATCTTAATCCTTCTGGGATTTTAAATTTCAGTTTCATTATCCAGTGGGTAGTATAAGTCAAGTTCTTCTCTTATTGCCAGGCTGATAAGGAACTTGAAAGTAGTTGCATCCACCACAGAAGAGTTTGTCTCTTCATATTTAATTTTATATATATCATTCTTTCATATAAAGACTTCTTTATATCCCACTGGTTTTACATCCTTAGGTGTATGGACAACTGGTCCAAATACTTATCTCTTTTCAAGAGATTTTAACTATATGACTATTGCTTCTTTATAATTTGGCCAATCATATCTTTGTGTACACTTTGGAATAGATTTCACGATCCTCTTTCTCATGTATCATATCAACTGCTACACTGCATGCAAAAATATTTACGACGTCGTTTTGCTTTTCGGTTCCATTTTATTCTACACATGACATAATTTGTTGAGATCAATCTCTTTATTGTCTCACGTACCTGAATTTCTTTCTTGTCATGTTTAATGTCTCTTTTTGAGATCATTCAAAATCTATCTCCTCAGTCTGACCATTGTCATATTCTGCTCCTTTTCTTTTATGAGGATATTTATGTTGGGAACCAATAAGTCTATCACACTTCATGCGTTCTTTAGACTCTTTAGCAGTTTGATATTGTCCTTCTGGAACATTAAATTTTATTGGAGCCTTTATAGCTGGTATGTGATCTTGTCACTCTATTTGGATCAGTAAATGTTTCTGGCAACTGATTTATTAAATGTTGTAAATGAATTATCTTTTGGACTTTCATTCACATTCTTTAGTCCGAGGATCAATGATAGTTCATTCCAACTTATCTTTTCCAGCTGTTTTTTTTCTCCCCCTGATGTTGGAATTACTGACATATTAAAATGACAGTCTACAAATCGAGCCCAATATAAATACTTCATGGATGGACTCTACATACTTATTTATCAATAGAGATTTATATCTAACATATATTCTCAACCTCATTTGAGGATCCATCTTATAACGTTGTGGTGGATCAATGTGGATATATACTGCACATCCAAATCATTTAGATGGAAATTATTTGGTTTCTGACCCAAAACCAGATTTGATGGGAGAACTTTGATTACTTGTTGGCTTTATGCGAATTAATACTTCTGGATTTTGTGTATGAACATTTGTTATTAAATGTTCAATATTTATTTTTTATGATTTTATTATCAAAGGCTTAAGACGTGAATTCACTAATATTGCCAAGGGATCTAGCAAACTTCAAGTTGCAGATATTCAATATATTAAATTACTTAACCACAAACTTTTCCTTGTAAACTTTCTAGGAAATAAAATAGATTTTAAATCTATTTTGGCTAGTGAAAATCATAATATCATATTTGTCATATGATTAAATCATTAGAAAGAATCTTCAAGTTCTTCAATGAATGTCTATAGACCTATTAATTATTTCTGCATATTTCTTGAACCGGAATGGTCTAACCAGCTCATGCCAAACTATGTTATATTCCTTAAACTTCTGGTTTACTATATAACATTTATCCCCATTATATAATCTTTATATATTACAATCTATTAGAGAGTGTATGTAATTTCACCAAAATACTTTTACTGCATTTGGTAATACTCTAGATTTGAAGGTATTCAAATTTTCTTTCTTTATTGTCTTAACTTGATTAACTTTGAAATCCATTAAAATTACCTTATAAATGATTCATCAAGATCATTTTGACTTTGAACATAATCTTCTAGATGCTTTACTTACTATGGATTGTGAAATTCATCAATTCTCTCCCTCAAGATGATGACACTTCAGGTTCATCTATTTTGAATTGGATCCCAATCTAGAATCAATAACATATCCAACTTGGATCATGTCTTATATCTTTGATTCTTTAAACTTTTGAGACTTGGGAGATATAATGCATCAATAATTGCAACTGGCAAATATATATACTCTTCTATAGCTTTCAATTACATATATTACTAGATCTTGTACTCACAGTAGTTTATTTCATCTTTAGACAAGAGAACTACTTCTGGTTTATAAAACTTCTTGAAATACTTCTTGATGAAATAAAACTTGTGATCTAGTCTTTGACCATATCCACATCATGACCACTTCTTGAGCTTCCTTGACTAGTTTTATTTGACATGATTATTTTCTGTCCCACTATATAATATCACATTCACTTCAAGGAATAGATCATAATGAATTGGACATAATTTAGAACTTTTTTATCAATAGCTCATTATCTTTTCAAAATAGTTCTTAAACTTCATTTATATTGTCTACAAGACAACATTATTTATCTAAGGATTAAAGTATGTCTTCTAGCAATTCTGGATTAGTGATTTTCTCTTCACATAATCTTTAACATAATAAGAATTATTTACAGACTTCAAGTCTTATAATCTTAGAGACTCATAATGAGCTTTAGGTAATATCACATTATAGTAATCATATTTTTCCTTAGATTTATGTAAAGAACTTAGGGATTTTTTATAGGCAAATACAAAATATTCATATAAATAATGGTAGAAAAATAATTATTATATAACTACATATGTATAAACAAAAGCATATTAAACTAACTAAATCAGTGGCACGTACCATTTCTGTTATCACTTCAAGTGACAATTTGAATTTTTAAAAGAAGCTTAAAAGAGAATAAATAATTTTAAAATACTTCTCAAAATATCTTTAATGTTATTGTAGACAAAAATATTTATGTAATGTTTTCTACCATCTTTGTATTAGTGGTATTATCTCCATTTATAGACTTGAGGTCATATAGTTCTTAGATGCAATCATCTATAATAAGTTAGGTCATATCACATTCTGGTGATCAAGCCTTTTCTTTAGATTGCTCTATGGTCAATAATTTGATCTTAATCATCGAACATGTAATGATAGATAAGTATAATCACAAAAATATGATCTACACATATAATATAAACAAATATAGTAATATAAAGAAATAATTCAATCAATGATTGATTAATATCTATCATGATATTAAACTAGATTCTCAAACAATCAATTCACCAAAAGAGATCATATGATAAAATATGTGCAAATCTCGTGATAATATAAATAAACAAGTTTTGATGCAGTAGTGCAAATCTCGTGAAAAACATACAAGCAGAATGCAATAGTTCTGTGCAAAAATCGGGATATATGTGCAAAACTTGTGTAAAATTTTAATAAATTCAAGATAAACTGTCAGTGCAAAATTTAGATAATCATTATGTGCAAACTTCGGGTTAACAATATTGAAAACAGAAACTAGTGCAGATTAAAAAAAAAAATCTAGAACTGAATAGTGACATAATAAAACAAATCCGTGCAAAGTTCGTGTTAAAACGATTCTGTGCAAAAAAACAATATGGAAAATATTCGATTTAATGAATATGTGCAGAAACAATATGAGGCAATATTCGATTTCAATGAATAAGATTCAATTTAACAAATTTCGTGCAAATCATTTGCATAAATAATATAAGCAATATATGATTTTAATGAACAATATTCTGTTTAATATATTTCGTGCAAACTATGTGCAAAAACGGAATAAAATATTTGATATGCAAATAATATGCAGAAATAATAAATTTAATTTAATGAATAAAGACATGTTTATAAATATCATAGAAAAATATATTAGTATAAACATGTGATTTGAATCTCTACTGGAGAATTTATCATTTATAAAAATAACAATAATAAAATAATTATATGATTTAAATCTCTGCAGGAGAATTTATCATAATATCAATCATAAATATAATAAAATAAACATATAAATTGAATCTCTACAAGAGAATTCATCATAATAAACATATAAGTTGAATCTCTACAAGAGAATTTATCATAATATTGATTATGTAAATCTCTTCAAGAGAATTTACTATAATATTGATCTTTTTTTAAAAAAAATTAATAAATAAATATATTATTTAAATCTCTACAGGAGACTATCATAATATTGATTAATGATCCATTCTTACAAACCATGAACGCTTTCACCTGCATTCTTTGAGCACTTGTGATATCGTTCGCCATCATTGGATCTATAACTTCATCCAGCTTCCACTTCTCATAAAACCCTCTCACATTGCTAAGAATACCCTGTGGATATCCACCAGATCTAGCGAAGACAACGGATCTGCCAGTGATAAAAACCAACAAACAGATGCCAAAGCTGTAGACATCGGTATATTCCGACACAAACCTCGTGCTGTTATATAATGGATCTAGGTACCCTAATGTTCCTTGAACGCCTTCAACTTCTATTCTTGATTCTCCCTCAGGGAGCGTTATGGCAAGCGAGAAATCTGACAGCTTTGTGGTCCAATTCTTGTCCAAGAAAATGTTTGTTACCTTAATGTGTCTGTGTATGATGATCTTAGGGAAGGCCGTGTGAAGATACGTCACAGCATTTGCAATCTCCTTTGCTATCTTCAACCGTACACTCCATGGCAATACAGCATCCTCCCCGTTGACCATGGCATCTCCTTGCCAATTCAGAACTCCAAGTTCTGCATATTCAAACACAAAGACCAGGAACCTAAACTCGAGACAACATCCAAATAGTTTCAGAAAGTTGTTGTGGTTGCTCATCCTAGCAGACAAGACTATGTCGTTGTAAGCCTCTCCATCTCTGCGTTCTGTAACTCTATATCTGGCGAAGACGAACCTCTTCCGTTGATTGAGGTTGAAAAATCAACACCAAATAGTCATCTAATTTCGAAAATTGGAGGAAAGGAAAATAAATAGATAAGATAATTATTTTGAATGTTGATTTTTCAACTTCAATCAACATCCACTAGTTTAAATATATCTTTGCATATGTATGCCATCTTAGAATCATAAAAGAGATTGACTTTTTCTTTTCTTTTCTTTCAGAAACACTTTAGGTCCTTCCTGTTAAAGATGCTGCTGCTGAAGCAGCATATGAGATCTTGGTCGTCCTCGAAAAAAAAGGAAAAATCTTGGTTCTTGAAGAACGGAAGCAAATTCTTAAAAGAACTTATAGCTGATTGTAACGGCAAATCCATTCCTATACACAGTTTTTCTTCTTCTCAAATCCTTAAAGCCACCAATAACTTCGATTCCAGGTGTTTTGTCACGCAAGAGGGGTTCTACATATGGTACAAAGGTATCATCGAAGATAGATCTTACATGATCAAGAGATTCTCCGAGTATAAAGTTACTGATTACAGAGAAGGAGAGGTCTACAAAGACATCGTCTTGTCTGCCCGGATGTGCAACCACAACAATTTTCTTAAACTACTAGGATGCTGTCTTGAGTTCCCTTTTCCGGTTCTGGTGTTTGAATATGCAGAACATGGAGTTTTGAATAGTCAAGGAGGTATTATGGTTAATGGTACAACTGATGAGGAGAAACTCAACCGGAGGTGTGGAGATCTGTGAGCCTCAAGATGGTAATCAAGCTGGGCGTCTCTCTCTACACGAGGGCACAAGCAGGAGCAAGGATAAGGGGATACTTCACGACACTCCAAGAAAGAGCGGGACGACCGGAGCAACATCAAGCTCCAACCATGCCTAGCTCCAAGGTACCAAAACTCAAGCCTTGTATATATCATGCATTTTTAATTTTTGCTTTATGGATTTTGGTCTCCATTTGAATTTGTTTGACACCGAGACATTGTCATTCAAGTTTGGGGGAGAATGTGTGCTTTGACATGTTTTTATTTGGATTTTATTTTGTGTTCACATCTTTGAGTCTTCATGCATCCATCTAAGTGCATAGAAAAATACAAAAAATTCAGAAAAATTTTAAAAATATTAAAAAAAAAAATCATATAGCGTGCATTTGCATTGTCAAATATTTTAGGATTGAGTCTATAATTTTTATCATTTAGGTTGCTTGCATTTGCATAGGGAGCAATGCTGGCTTTGGAATGCTGCGAGGAAAGAGATGAAGATAGACCAAAGATGATTCAAGTTGCTAAAGAACTCAAGCGGATTGAGACATCACTGAGAAATTCTACCTAGAGATCTTCTCTATTCTTGGACTATAAAGCCAAGGTTTGTATTTCATACATAAGCCCGGAAGAAGAGATTACTCTGTTTCATAACAGCAGATTCAACCTCAGGGTTAATACTTTACTACTCTGTTCTACCTGTTGTACTGTTTACTTCATGCCGATTTGGCTGTGGTCTAATGTTTTGTCTGTTTCTCAAAACCGTCCAAGAAGTGAACATTTTTTTTATCTCTGACAAATGAATCTCATGCTGGCACTGCAAAAGCTCGATGAGATCTTCTAAGAAGATATTCCCGTTCTCTTGCAACAATCTTTAGCCGTTGATTTGTTTTATGAGTTCTTATTCGTCTTTTTCCTCCAACAATCCATCTTCTGAGCATTCATCAACATACAGAGCTGAGAAGTGGAGGGAGCATGGAAGGGTTCAAAGGGAAAAAATCAAGGAGCATGTTCCAAGACTTGTCTCTTCATTTCCTTCTTCTTCTCTTCTCTTTATAATCCCCCTATGTATTATGGACGAAAATCCATCTATCTTTTAATCAAAATCTCTTTTAAAATAGATCATCTCTTTGGTGTGTAATATCCAAAGAAATTCTGTTCATCTTATGGTGTGTAATATCCTTAAAGTGTTCAGCTTGGTTTGCAGAAGACTTTCACATCTTTTGTAGACTTCCCCCCCTCAAACCGTCCATATGCATATGCTTAACTTTCAAAGTCAAGGTCTTGGCGGGATCATATTATTATCTCAATGTCAAATTCTTGGAGCAACAAAATCCATCTCAACAGTCTTAGTTTTGCATCCTTCTTCTGCATCAAGAACTTGAAAGCAGAATGATCTATGTGCACAATTACCTTAGCTCCAACCAAGTACTGTCTGAACTTCTCAAATACAAATACTACAGCCAACAATTCCTTCTCTGTAGTTACATAATTCTTCTGAGCATCATCCAAGGTTCTGCTTGCATAGTAGATTGCATGAAGCTTCTTCTCCTTTCTCTGACCCAATACAGCACCCACTGCAAAGTCTGAAGCATCACACATCACCTCAAATGGTAGATCCCAATCAGGAGGCTGCACAATAGGGGCGCTCACTAATGCCTGCTTGATTTGCTGGAAGGCTGAATGACACTCTTCAGTAAATTTAAACTTCACATCCTTGCAGAGTAGAGTTGTGAGTGGTCTTGCAATCTTACTGAAATCCTTAATGAACCTCCTGTAAAATTCAGCATGTCCTAGAAAGCTCCTTACTGAGTTCACACAATCTGGTGGCTGCAGACTTGTCATCACTTCGATTTTGGCTCTTTCTACCTCAATGCCTTCTCCAGAAACTCGATGCCCAAGCACAATCCCATCCCTGACCATAAAGTGGCATTTCTCCCAGTTCAGAACTAGGTGCTTCTCTTCACATCTTTCAAGCACCTGACAGAGATGGTCAAGGCAGTCCTTGAAGGAGGATCCATATACTGAGAAGTCATCTATGAAGACCTCCATATACTTCTCAATCATATCGGTAAAGATGGACAGCATGCACCTCTGAAATGTCGCAGGAGCATTACAAAGTCCAAATGGCATTCTGCAATATGCAAAGGTGCCATAAGGACAAGTAAATGTTGTCTTCTCCTGGTCATATGGGTGAATGGGGATCTGAAAAAAGCTAGAGTAGCCATCAAGGAAGCAGTAATAGGAGTGATTCGCCAACCTCTCCAGCATCTGATCAATGAATGGCTGTGGGAAGTGGTCCTTCCTTGTTGCAGCGTTGAGCTTCATGTAATCAATGCACATTCTGTGTCCATTGATGGTTCTTGTGGGAATCAGCTCATTCTTCTCATTTTTCACCACTGTGACTCCTCCTTTCTTGGGAACCACATGTATTGGACTGACCCAGGTGCTATCTGAAATCGGATAGATGATCCCAGCAGCTAGAAGCTTCATGATTTCCTTCTTCACTACATCCTGCAAGTTCGGATTCAGCCTCCTCTGGTTCTCAATTGACGACTTTGACTCATCCTCAAAGTGTATCTTGTGCATTCACAGCTCTGGAGAGATACCTGAAATGTCATCAAGAGAATAGCCAAGAGCCTTGCGAAAAGTGTGCAGCTTGCTTAGCAATAAAGTGAGCTCTGCATTGTTTAAGGCAGCACTAACTATAACAGGATATGTAGAGTTAGGTCCCAGAAAAGCATACCTTAGACCTGCAGGAAGTTGTTTGAGTTCGACTTTAGGAGCTTTTTCTTCACTCCAATCGCCCAGCTTTCCAGCCTTTGCAGATGTCCTAATGATCTCATGTTGTGCAACTAGCTGCATGACTTGCTCACTTGCATCCATCATTCTGACATAACCAGCAGCAATGCTGTCTAGATGCTCTGTTGCTTCTGCAGAAACTGTTAATGCCCTTTCCAAAGGGTCTGCAGGATGCATCTCTTGAAAGATCTCTTCTACAAGACTGGTGAGGGAGTCTACATAGAATGTGTGGCCATCTATTGTTGGTCTCTTCATCAACTTGTCCATGTCAAAGTTCATCACCAAATCGCCCACATTCAAAGCAATGCTCCCTTTTCTGATGCCAGTGATGGCGCCTGCAGTAGCCAGAAATGGCCTTCCCAAAATCAAAGGGTCCTTTGGTTCTTCCCCATAAGCTAGAACCACAAAGTCTGTGGGAATCACACAATGTCCCACCTTGACTGGCACATCCTCGAGAATGCCTTCAGGAATCCTTACAGATTTATCTGCTAAGATAAGAGATATTCTGGTTGGCTGGAAGTCAGTCATGCCCAAGCTGACAGCAACTGAATGAGGCATCAGGTTGACACTTGACCCTAAATCACATAATGACCTCTCAAACCTTTCAGAAAAGATTGTGCAGTCCAGAACAAAGCTCCCAGGATCAGTCAGCTTCTCTGGTATCTTGTTCTATATCACTGCACTCACTTACTCTGAAATCAGCATTGTTCCTTGCTCAATCCACAGATTCTTGGTCATCATTCTTTTCAAATATCTCTTTATCACAGGAGTAGTCCTTATAGCATCTATCAAAGGTATCTTTGACTTGTAAACCCTTTCTTCTGCAATTTTTGGAGTCTGCAAATTCGCAGATTTCTTCTGTGGTGGGTGTCGATCGACACTGGCTTCTGGAAGTGGTGTCGAGCGTCTGTCGAGCTCGCTCGATATCTCTTTGCCTCGAGTCGAAGAATCGTGAATTTCCTGTGGTGTCGATTGATATATCATGGTTTTTGCTGGTTTTTGACCATGATATAAGTCCTGTTTATAGAGTCTTTTTGGTATTTTTCGAGTCCTATAGAGTCTTTGCAGGTTTAGGTACGAATGGAGCATAATTGTGGATTCTGGAACCTTTTGGAGCTATAATGAAGCTGTTGCTGAAAATACCAAGTCGGAAGACATTAAAGAGCTAGGTGTCGATCGACACCCACCTCTTGGTGTCGATCGACACCGATCGTGGTTGCGAAGAAGCATTAAATCTTATTAGAAGAAATTGCAACTTGGCCCAGAAGTTTCCCACTATTTGCACTTTTGCCCCAGTTCGTGTTTAGACTTGTATTTAGGTTTTCTAAGCCATTGTGAGGCAGATATTCTGAGAATTATTGAGACAAAGAG